GGGAACCGAACTTTCTCTGTGAATCTTCACAGTGGATGTGTCCATACTAGCAGAGATGGTGGGAGAGTCTTGGCCAGAAGCAAACTCGTCCACGTCTGGTTGAGTGATCGTCCGCACCTGACATTTATCCGGGGACACTTCTGTTTTACGACGCCTCTTCGGCGTAGTTTGGTTCACCAATGAGTTTTGCTTGTCTGACTGAGCATAACAAAACTTCCAGTCGATATGATGGCTCACGTCAGGTCGCCGGCGAGTACGGGGAGCAGTTTCAACACCACTTGACACTTTTTGTGATTTACGGCGAGAGCGGGCTGTCGAATTTGAATTGCCTACGATGGGTGGAAGTTTTTTGGAAACTCCACATGTACTATCCGTTACAATGCGTGGTCCTCTCTTGTGGTTTGACTTAGCTCGTATTAATCTCTTGGCCGCCGTAAGGCGAGCGGCGGCCACAGCCACAGATCGAGAACCAGAACGAACTTTTTCAGTATATACGGGCAAATCAGGAATAGGATGTCGACCAGTATTGGTTTGATCGCCACTTGATACAAACATGTCGGAATAGCGTCTAGGTCGAGGGTTTGGTCTTAATCGACCCATATGACTGCGGCTCAGCTTTTTGCTTTGCTCCTCTAGGCGACGGCGCCAAAGTTCGCAAACACCAGGACGGAGTAGACCGTTTAGAGCCAAAAACAAATCTTTAGTATCCAGATTCAATACAGTGTTTGAAGATTCCCAAAGGTTTTCAAAAACATGTTTAACGACAGGAACATCGAAAACAAAAACCGCATCAGGGCTTACATCTTCGGTTTTGAAGGAATTTTGTCCATTGTGACCGTAAACTTTCGGTACAACCCCGTAGGTGTTGATTTCTTTCAACAAATCCTGCAGAACATTGTCAGAAGCTCCAAATCTCAATTCCTCAGCGCAATAAAGATCCTCCTTTTTGAGTAGCTTGGGAGAACATATACTTGGGGGAGAAATGGGTATGTCAATAGAACGCCCGTTTTCTGACTTTGGTTCACTCTTGGACTGAATAACAGACTGATCACGAAGCACTTCCTCAAAGGATGGTGTTGATTTTTCTTTCAAATTTTCTTTACTCATGATTGAGGATCGAGGGCGACCTCGGGGTCTTTTTGTCGCAGGTTCTGATGAAGCCTCCTGAGTAATCTTCAGAGTTCCTTGAACAGAAGTTGAATTCACGTCAGACGGACATCTTTTATCAGAATTTTTCCTGTTGGAAACTTCAGATTTTTCTCCAGCAGATGACTCCTGACTCTTAGTTCGTAGGTTATTCTTCGAACATTGAGATGCAACTTTTTGGTTGGTTTCTACTTTCTTCGGAATTTCTATAGACTTGGTCAGTCGAGGTCTTCCCACCTTGGCGTGCACACGATGACGTCCACGATTAGACGCGCTAGTATTTAGATGAGACGACTCGTTTGACTCTGTTGATTTACGGATCACAGGAGAACTATTTTTGGAGACGCTAGCAGAAGTTGTTCTGGAAAGAGCACCAGAGCTCTCAACAGTAAGTCTCCATCTAGACGAAGAGCGCATCCTTGGATTTTGATGAACGACCCTTTCGATTACCTTTTTGTCACGGGTAGCAGCCCTTGTTCGTAACGTTTTCTGACCGCTTTGTTTAGTGAGACTTCCTCCTACTCTCTTCACCATTGAACCCAACATCCTGCGTTTGTTTTTCACAGGTAAAACATTTTGCTGGACAACTGTTCGTAAAGATTTTGTTTTACGATTTCTGGGGCATAATCCCAGCGATGACACGATGGATGTCCGCTGACCACGATTACTGAAGAGAAAGACAGAGTTTTATTGACAGACACGACAAGCAAAAAAACGATAACTTCAAGTATAATACGAACTCTCAGTAATTCTACTTTATAAAGAAACAGGTATTAAAACTCTAAAACCGTGCAGTGGTTTGAAATTTTCCCCATAGACCAGTACAGGATAATGACTGTGATGATAAAAGTGGCACTAAGGCATCTAAGAAAAATAATCATTACAGACAAGATTATTGCTACTTTATATGGTTTAGCACATTTAGGCTCCGTTACGTGAAATTTGCAGTCCATCCAGTCGAATCCACTGGAGTGTGACTGACCAGGGACTGTATATTTCAGGGTGAAAAAGAAATAATTAAGGTTATGGGGAAGAAGGGCACTTGCCTAGGTTCTGAACGGTACGGTAAACACTCAATTGACAATGGCGGAGTCAAAGCAACGAGAGCGAAACATCTGAGCGATTAGGTGAGTGAAAATTACTATAAGTTAAGTTTAAATGTTTCTGAATATTTTAGAGTAATCGCATTGTCAGTTAAACGTGACAAACGAGCGGCGCATGAAACGATACTCACTTTTGAAACTTATTTTACTGAGTTCACGGCAGCTCGAAAGTAATTTGTTAGAATTCATCTACGTAAAATTCATATATTGAGCTAAACTCTACTGCCACGCAAAATTATAACACTGGTTAATGTGACTGGGAAGATTAAAAACTGCAAATAAAATTGTATCAACAGGATCCGGAGCCTCTCGTCAGAAAACGGAAATTGACCGATATTTGGGAGTTCCGTGATTTTTTAAACAATTGCAAGCAATCAAAATATTAGGCTAAGAATGACAACTGGAAATTGTTGAGGATCAAATAAATATGGTGACTTCTAAGTAACACCTAACAAATACCAACAACCCACCGAGTTCGCATCGGAAGTATGCAGATCGAATCTGAAATGGAAAATAAAAAGACGTCGAAGAGTCAATAACATCAAAATTCGGGAAAGAAACAAACTGGGAGATTAAAACAGTCCAATGAAATGAGTCACTAAAAAGAACATTAGTTCCACAGTCAGCACGTCTTCCAGGGAGATTAAGTTATGCAGAACCCAAGTAAATTGGTTAAACTTTATTGCACATCGTCAAAAGAAAAATTTGTCTGGCCGAAAAGGTAACCCCATATGTCAATATAATTTAAAAACCCACCTGCTACACGCCAAACAGTCACGAAATCGAAACCAGGACAAGATGCGCGGGTTTTAACCGACCTAATTGGACCTTGATCCGATTGGTGCAAACCGATCCAGACGAAATAATGAAATAGTAAAACAATTTAATGTGTAATACCGAAAGCAAAGGTTTTCCACCTCAGTTTGAAGACTCTATATTTGACTAAACTAAAGATATGTTTGAATTTATGAACTACCGATGAAAGACCTATCTCTAGATACTTTTTTTCGTCCATTCCAGTATTACCCTACTGGAAGTCTACCCAAGGGTGCGGTAAGTTGCTCGATCTTCGTAGTCTTTAAGAGAGCCTTCGATGACTGTTAAGCGCCTATATTCCCTAAAACAGTTTAAAGGTAAGTTCGGTAGTAGTCGAAGTTACTTCCATCGGTGACCCCGGCAGGAAACATTTTTCCTCAGTAAGTGTGATTTTGTGTCTTAGTTGCACGATATATAAATATTTTCATCGCATATATTATCGCAACTTTATGTCATCCGAAAATAAGGCACGTTCAACTGGCCCAGACTTAACCTTTAATATGGTGGCGTTTCGTCCGATTCCTTTCGTCCCTCATGACCCCCATGTTTGGTTGGCAGCGTTAGGGCTGCAGTTTGCTCATAGAAATGTTAAGAACCAAAGCACAATGTTCGCGTTGGCACTGGAAGCCATCTTGGGCGACCAGCTTTCTTCTTTGCTGGATTTAGTTTTGAATCCTCCTCAGGAGTACCGGTTTGGCAAATTAAAATCAGTCATTCTCGATGCTCTCCTCCCATCTAAGGAGGAACGGCTGCGAAAACTATTGGCACGCCACCCAGTGGGTGACGCCAAGCCGAGCCAGCATCTAGCTCACCTGAGATCCCTCGCCGGACCGCACGATGCCCATTCGGATATCGTCAGAGAGCTATGGATTGAGTCTGTACCAGTTCACGTCCAGACCACAGCTACAGCACTCATAGAAGGCACTTCGCTCGATAGGGTACCTTCCATTGTAGATAAGATTGTGGCCCGGGTCGGCAACACTGAGCATTTGCTCGTTGCCACGACTTCCCATCAGTCTACTCCGCCACGTTCTTCACAGCGTGGCAACCCATGCTGTATTCACGAGCGCCCATCCTTTAAGGATAGAGTCCCTCAACCCACCAAGCACTTCTCTAGGGCCCGGGCGTACCGTTGCCCCGCTAAGGCTGCTAAGCCCACCCTCCCCTCGGCCCAACGTTCCAANTTCCAAGTCTAAACCCTCAAAATAGGGTAGGGACGGGTATTGCTGGTTCCATAAAACTTTTGGACCAGGTGTCCGCAGATGTAAGCCTCCTTGCACTTACGTCGCGGGAAACGTCACCACCGGCGGGGAATTGCGACCGTACTCGCCGGTACACCCACCCCCAGGTTGGCCGCTATTTTACGTGCAAGATTGCTACACACGCACCAGGTTCGTCGTTGACACGGCAGCCAAATTTCTGTCGCACCTGTTGGTAGCAGCAAGCCTCGTGCTTCACGACTTCCGTTGTGCGCTGCGAATGGCACCCCCAATCCTACTTACGGTGCACGACGACTTGCGGTCAACCTGGGGCCCCAACGACGGTATCCGTGGACGTTCATTCTCTTGGACGTTCTTACAGGTATCCTCGGTATCGATTTTCTGCAGTTCTATGAGTTACTCGTTGACTCACGTAGACTGCGGTTGATTGATACTTCGTCAAACATTAAATTCATGGGTCTCAAAGCTCGCACAGACGTTCACCGAATCGCAGGTATCTTACCTAATTCGCTGGACTCATTCCACTCGTTATTGGAACGCTTCCCCAATTTGACTAAACCTATTGAGGAGATCAACCTAGTTACAGATCGTGTGGCTCACCACATAGTCACTAAAGGACCACCAGGCACGGCACGACCTCACCGACTGGCACCAGAGAAATTAGCATTTGCTAAGCGTGAGTTCAACACTTTGCTTTCAAAAGGCATTGCTCGTCCTTCTCACAGTCCATGGGCCTTTCCTTTACACATTGTTCTTAAAAACGACGGCATTAGCTTGCGACCATGTGGCGATTATCGAGCGCTTAACGCAAAGACTCGTTTTGATAGCCACCCCATTCCTCAAATTCACGACATCACTGCGTCACCTCATGGTTCGACTATTTCTTCGAAAATAGATTTGGTGCGGGCCTATCACCAAATCCCAGTCGCTCCTGAAGATGCATAGAAAACTGCTGTCGCGAATCATTTTGGTCTGTTTGAGTTCCTACGCATGATTTTTTATTTACGAAATGCTGCTCAGACTTTCCAAAGGTTTATCGATAGCATTACACGAGACTCAGATTATATTAACGTCTGTATCGATGATTTATTAATAGCATCATCCACTGTAGATGAACATCATTTGGCATTATTGTTTCAACCTTTATCCAACCACCGAACAGTAGTCAACGCTGAAAAGTGTGAACTTGGTCGATCGGAACTTATTTTCCTTGGCCACAAGGTCACACGAGAAGGTATTCGGCCGTCCGGTCAGGTCAGGTCACAGGACTTGTGGCTCAAGCTAATATGTGTCCAGGTTCTTGCACTCCGAGCTCCGTGTTCTCGTGGTGCTTCGACTGCCATGCGTTCCTTACGATTCTTCCCGGTCACTGATATCCAATGCTGGAAAGTGGAAATGTTTATTCATAACTTGGAAAACGGCCAAGTGTGGAGTTGATCTAGTCTACAACTGCATGAGTTGCATTTATGGTTCAATATAAGTAGACAGTGGAAGTGGATAAGATCCTAAGAATGAAAGAGAGTAAATGCTTCAGGAGGTATCAGCATTTTACCGGGGTGTATGTATCGCATAAATCCGTCTCCAAAAGCTGTCGCGGCTCACTCATTCACCCACTCACTCTTATTTTATCAACCGTGATCGTCTTTTCTATCGAAGGTTCAGATCTGGCCAGGTCAGTCACGGGACTGGTGGCTGAGGCCAAGCGAGTGTCTGTCACCACCCAACATGCTTGTGCATACAGCCACGAATACGCTCAATCATATTCAATCACACACATCCATAACATCCACACATGCATGCAGCCTTGTGCATATCCTAATGTATACCAGTATACATCCGGAACGAGAATGGCAGTACGACGCTGAGTGCATGTGTGGATGTTATGGATGTGTGTGATTGAATATGAT